TGCTGGCTTGGAACAGGAGCCTGCTGCCTTGGAAAAGGCTTCAGGGTCTGCTGCCTTGGCAAAGGCCATTGTGCTCGAAAATGATCGAGTGCCCAACCCCTGGGTGAGCTTGGAGGTGGAAAGCAATCCCAGGAGAAGCAGGCTCTCGGGAAAGCAGGCCAAGGGCAGGTGGAATGTAATTTTCTCCTGTGAAACCAAGAGGCAGCTGTGGCACAGGCAGCTTTATGAAAAGCTGAAGCGAGCCGTGGAGAAGGACCAAAGCCTGGAGTACTTCATAGCCTTGGGAAAGTCTTATGAAGACTCCAAGACTGGAAGGTTTGATTAGTCTGAAGGACTATCTCCTTCTATTCGCCAAAGGTGGCGAAAAGGCAGAAATTGCCTTGAAAAAGGATGCCTTCAAAAAGGCTGGCCTTGCAAAATGCTTCTTGCCTTGCAAAAGGCTTGCCCTGAAAAAGGCTGGCCTTGAAAAAGGCTTCTGGCCTTGCAAAAGGCTGGCCTTGAAAAAGGCTTGCCTTGAAAAAAACTTGCCTTGAAAAAGGCTGGCCTTGAAAAAGGCGTGCCTTGCAAAAGGCTTGCTTTGCAAAAGGCTTGCCTTGAAAAAGGCTGGCCTTGAAAAAGGCTTGCCTTGAAAAAGGTTTGCCTTGAAAAGGCCGGCCTTGAAAAAGGCTTCTGGCCTTGAAAAAGGCTTGCCTTGCAAAACTTGCCTTGAAAAAAGCTTCAGGCCTTGGAAAAGGCTTTAGGCCTTGGAAAAGGTTTTGGCCTTGGAGAAGGATAGTCATGCCTTGGAAAAGGCTTTGCTTTGGAAAATGTTTTTGCCTTGGAAAAAGCTTAAATATATATATATGTATATATATATACATAGCCTGCAGCAGATAGCAGGATTCCAAAGCCTTGGAAAAGGCAACAAAAATTCATGCAGTTTTGAGTTTTAAAAACATGTGCAGCATGCTGTTTTTTGAAAATTGTCTTGATTTTCGAGCATGTTTGCGATTTTTTGTACATGCTGCAGCCTTTTCAGCTCTAGGGTTGTAGGCACCACATGCCTTTAAGGCACACTACACACACTATACACACACGCACTACACACACATACACACACACACCCACACTTTCGCACACACTGCAGCAACAGCAACAGCAGCAACACACACTTTTGCAGACACAGCAGCAACAGCAGCATACAACATGCGTAGGCGCAGTAGCAAGCAGTAGTTTAGTAGTAGGTAGGCAACAGTATAGCTGTAGGAAGGTGTACTTTAACAGCTTATATGTTTTCTATCAGATTTGGGGCTTAGCATACACATGCATGTAAACTTCCATAGAGGTCGTAATTATATTCAACAAGTATAGGATATAGTTTAAGTTTGCCAGTAGTTTTCGAGCCATAGCAGGCTTGGAAAAGCCAACTCTCTGCTAGGAACAGATCTTGGAAAAGATCCATCTTGAAAAAGATCTGTTCCCAGCAATGGGCAAATGCCACATCACCGTTGGCAACGGGACGGGCAGCGACCGGAACGGGAGCTCGCAGGCCAGCGAGGAGACGCCCGAGGGCAGCTGCCTCAGCCCCAGCAGGAGCGTGAGAAGCGCTTCCTGCAAAGCGCCCGGCAAATAGTAACCATCGTGTGGGCACCCAACTGCGCACACGAGATCTGCCCGCGACGTGACATCAGGGGCCGTTTTGGAACTCCAGTCGAGGAAACGCCGCAAACCTGCGGGTCGCGCCGCATTGCGCGCGAGGCGAGTCCACCGGCGGACCAGGGCCTGCCGCAACCCTGCCGCGCACTCTAGGGTAGCCGCTGGCGCGCGGGTCAGCGTCTATTGCCCGATGCGCTCGCCCACCTCGATCCCAAAAGAGCGCGCTCCCGGCAACTCCGGTACGTCCGGCGCCTGCGCGCGAATGTTTCCTTGAGATTAGACCAATTAAATTGGGTTTGATGTGAAATGGGAGGTTTTTACAAAACAAAAGCACGTTGTTCTTCATGCGCATTGAATATGCCATGGAATCCCCTTCATGACTGAATCCCCTTGATAATAATAAGGGTTGTCCCCGGGCATCTGAAGGGGGATCCCGGCATGCTATGATCCATATCAAGATCACCCCTGTTGTGGGCCACATGGAACCTGGGGATCGGCAGAATTTCTATAGGAAATTTCCCAAAGCACAATCCGCGCGAAGAGACATTCCGGCATGCCGTTGAATGGTGTCATGGTCCATGCCAGTTGGAATGGGCAAACGGTGGATGTTTGCGACGGTACGTTGACTTCTGGTTTCTGGTGTTCCGTGGCCTGCTGGTTTGCTATTTTGTTGTTTCCTGAGGCTTCTCCGCTGTGTTCGACTGGCGTTGAATCGCAGCCTGAAGAGTTGGTGACGTTGACATCATATGTATGTCTCTCTTGGAGTTTCTCCTGGTCACTTCGCTCCTTGACCTGTGTGGGAAATCATGGTGGCTTTCTTGACAGGCGGTTTTCCTTGCCAGCAACTGTTTTTTCCTGGTTTTTTCTGACTCGGAATCTTTTCCTGACTCGGGCTTTTTCTCGCTCCTGACTCGCGCGTGTCATGTTTTCTGAACTGGTTCTTCCTGATTGGTGCTCAGGTCCTGCACTGGATAGGAGGTCCAAAATAACATCCAAACAAAAACAAAGCACCAGTAAGCACAGAAATAGCCTTGCACGGCAACATCGAGTCAGGTTATGCTTGGATCCAGGAGTCAGATAGCCTGGCTATATTTGGGCCTCTAACGCTGCCGTCCCTTCCTGGCGACAGTTTTGCTGGAGCCAGACGATGGCGATCATGGCAGCACACGCCGCTTGACCCGCGGAACTTTCGACGAAGGAGAAGGCGGAACACTGGCCACTGTCGAGCTTTCAGCCACCTTTGTATGTGGTGGTGCAATTGCACCACAACAGGCGTACCAGCGCGGCGCTTCTGGGGTGGCACAACACTGATGTCCGTCCGGCCACCCGATCGAGCAACAACCTATAATGCCAACCCAGAAACATCAAGTCAGCACAAACACGCACCGCTAGGCCGTTAACCTGTTCGACACATCAAAGTGTCAAATCTGATCAGATGCGCGACCGGTCTACCAGCACTTTGCTGTCACGCTTACTCGATCGCCACATAGCCTCTGCACAGCACCGCCGCAGGGACTTCAGACCAAGGATGGACCTAAAACATCGCAAGTATAATCAACATTTATGTCCCAGCCCCCTTTCCGGAGATGCCCTCCCTGCTGTCAACAAATGATAATGGCTACAATGGCACAGCTTCAGTTATAGGATTTGAAGTTAGAGTGTGCGGTAGAAATCCAGCTGTGAGAACTTCTTTGATATTTTTGCACAGCATCGTGGCTCTTATGGCCAATCCAACAGTTGGCAGTTCTGTGCATTCGTGCTGTACCAGCTTGAGCATGGTCACTTCAGAAGCTCGCCCAACAAAATCGTGAAAAGCTTTTCAGCTAACCTTGATTTCGGCACTCCGGTCGGCTGCCATGCCCTAGAGCGGGCAACTTCCATACACCGACCACGCCAGTGGCGCCGCCTGAGAATTTGTGAGGGGTAGCATGGGATCTCAAGGATATTTATTCTGTACTGGAGTGAATGGGATTATTAGAAGCTTCCCTGTTCAGGATGATCTATGGGTAGACTGGAGGAACTCCGGCCTCCATTCTGCACGGAGTACAGAGGCGCCGGCAAACAAAATGGAGGCAGGTGCAGATTGAAGGTGTGATAATTCTCGTAAGCCGATCCGTTGGGGTGGAACACGTTGGATCCCCCACGGGAAGACGGCCAATGTGGAATAGCGATATACTTGGAGCCACTCTTCTCGAAGTTCTGGAGAGCCTTCAATGAATGATCGGAGTCCAGATGGATGAAAACATCCCGGGTGTGTATCATGTCCACTTTGGGCGGGATCATGCATGTGATGTCGAACACAGCGAACTTGTTTGCAAATCGAGGATCTGCAGCAAAGGATGCCAGGTTGTCGGCAACAAGTGATGAGGAGATATCGCCGCCCATGTAATCCACACCCGTCAGATTCACGTGTGGCATCCAAGTCATGTCTCCACATGGAACATCCAAGAAAGTCTGGATCGCAAGCTTATCGAACACATCACGCAGGAACGGCCTCACCTGAAGTCTATGTGTTATCAAGAACGACTTTTTTTGTTGGGCTAAGGTGGATATGCCTCGGATCCCAGATCGAGGGGCTCAGAACAGATCTTGGGGTCACCGTCTTCAGGACTTACTTGTAATTACGGGTTCTGTTGACAACTCCCATGCTGTGCAGTCGCAGCTACCTAACAAAAGCGACAGCAACTGCCACTTCTGTTGAGCTTTGGACGTTTCTGCAAACGGAAATCTTGTGAGGACAAGGACTCATTCACTCTAAGCCATTCAAAATGAGCTCCAGCTGAAGACTTGTTCTTTGAGGTCAAACTCACGGAGCCTTCGCCGTGGAAGCCAAGCTTGAACCAGGTCCAGAAGGCTGCTTTCCTTGGATTTACTCACGGGATCCCAGCAGGTAGATTCAGGGTTGAGCTCTTGTGAAGCTAGGTTTTTTTTATCGCCTCTGAAGCAAGCCCTGCGCTGGACTTGTCAACCAAATCCCTGTTTGGAGAACAATTTCTAGGCTCTCAACGTGCGTTTGAACGGCCCCATAGAAGCAAATGCTCCACATCAAGCAGGGCCAAGGATGTTGCTCCCACGTGCCTATGGATCAACTTTGCAGCTGGATATTGTGGACAGCACCTCCGAGCCCGATGCCTAAAACTCACTAAGAGACCTCTCTTGAATCCCCAGCCAAGATTCCCTTCCCTTTTAACTTCCAGTTCTCCAGGCGATGGATCATAGTCTCATCCCACTTCTTGGCGCGCCTGCCAGGTCTGGAACTTGGGTTCCACGTGCGGAGGGGGTCAGCATTTATGCGTGAGCAGGTTCAGCATCACAGGAAGGACCTTCTTCGGGGCCTAATGTTGCCCCTTGCTTGTTTGGGCATCATGTGACACATGGTTTTCATGTGGTCTCTCCAAGTGGACACCCTGTATAGAAAAATATATATATATACATAAATACATATACACACACATAGTACAGCAATATTCCGGACGAACCCTGCATACACTGACCAAAACGCACCAAAACAAACACACTAAAACCCGTACTCCATCTTAAAATTGTCATGGGGGCCACTATCCATATTGCTTGTATCAATACCAACAGGCGTCTTACCCTGCTGCTTCAGGAGATATCGGCAGTATTGTGCTTTGTGCTTGGTATTACCTAATCGATTGATGTCAACTTTTCAGCCAGATTTGCCAGCAGAGCTTCCCTCTCTGGCTTATCCATGCTCTTGTAGTGAGGCTACGTTGAACACACCATGGTTTTGGGATCAGGAATCGAGTTTGCTGGTGGGTCTAACAGCTGAGCGACCGAAGCACGAAACGTAAACTACACCGCCGGTTCCCTCACTGACCCTTTGAGTTCGTAGAACTAGAATTTGTTTGCACCCAAACCCAGAAAACTCAGACTCTCAGCGCCTGCAGCCAGGCAGCCACAAGTCCAAAATTCCTACTCGCTCCCTCCACCATGACCGCTACAAAAACTAAGCCCTCAGCCACCAACCCTGAACTGCGACCCTGCTGGCAGCAAACCCGCCTTGCGTCCTCCATTGAACACTCACTCGTTGCCCTGAGTAGCCAGGCCTGCATGCAAGGGATGTCAGCATGCTTTAAATTGTGCATTGGGACCTTGGAAGAAAATCTCCAACACCATGTCGAACAATGCTGCCCCTCCACCTCCTCGATTGCTAGTTTTGATGCAAAATTTGGCTCCGACACATGCTACGCTCAAAAAGATCTAAAGCATGGTCAAAAGCATGCAGGGATATCAAGTAGAGACCACCCAAGATTTTTTGATATCTCCCTCCCCTCTTTCACGCCAATGTCTGAATTTGCGGCGTGGGGTGCACGAAACGCAGGTTGGTTGCATTGCAAGCTGAAAATCCACTGCGGGTCTGTGCCTGCGAGCTCAGAAGGGAAGCCGTTGGCCTAGATGGATGGTTTGGGGGGCTTTGGGATATTCGATGATATGCGGGTGTTTCTCAAGCTTACGGTGCTCTGACTTACCTACGAGATCTGGCGATCCTACTGGTCACAGTTGTGAGAAAAAATGCAAATAAAGAAATTCGTGCAATGCACTTGGGATGACCCCATTATCATCGGGGATGGACAATCTAATAGAACCACGACCCTGTCAGTGAAAGCCGACACCATCAGGTACCAGCAATAGTGATCGGCAGATGCAATCTGCAATCACAGAAGTCCACACCCGACCATGAACCAAAATGTTCTTCTGAGGCTGCCTCAGCAATTCCGCTATTTTTTTGGAGCATTGAGGTACCAGCAATACTTGTCTTGGAGTAGTTATTGTCATCCTTTGACAAACCGGCGAACAGCAAACTCAGAGGGTTCATCTATGACCGCTTTGACACGTCCATTGACTCGGGCTCATGAAGTCTACTAGTCTACAGAAAGCTGCTTGTTCTGGGGAACCTAGAAATTCCTGCAAAGAGGACGGTTGTTGTGAACCCTTTGGCTCATGACTATGACTCGTCCAAGGGTCTCGGGGGCGCTGCTGCTGACAAGTTGTACGAGGGCCGCATCATCCGCAGCGCAATTGTCGCCCTGGCAGTCCGCTGCCTTGTGAAAACCGTTATGGTCAGCAGTATAGCAATCACGGCCAGATGCTTCAAAGTGATTGGAGAAATTAGGTTGGCCTCATCTCAGTGTTTCGCACGTATTCCCGAGCTGGACTCCGTTCATGCTCCCTTAGGGCCGCATCATTTTGTCTGGTGTCCACGGCTACGAGGGGAAATCGAACACCCCAGCGACGCTAATGTTCTATTTCCTGTCGATCGTCTCAAGGGCTTGCAATTTTAGATTATTTTTTTTTGGGGACAGTAGAGCATTTTTGCGGTCCCCAGAAGCAAAGATGCGGTACTGTTCCAAAGTTGTACCCTCTCGAAAATCGGTAAACCAGGAATCCAGGATTTCCGTATATTTTTTCAATTAAATTAAAAGGAACTCGTCTAAACCAAATTCCTATCCAACACTGGAAATCCAGGATTTCAGGATCTTTACTTCATTTCTAATTGAATTATAAGAGGAATTCATATAGACCAAATCCAGGATTTCCCGTATCTTTTTAATTAGATTCTAAAGGAACTTGTATAAACCAAATTCCTATCCAAAACTTGAAGCCGATGATCTCAGGATTTTGTATCATGTCTAATTGAATTGTCAAAGGACTTCAATTTCACCAAAACCCTCTCGAATAACAGGTAAACCATCCATGTAGAACTTCCATCTAATTTCTCATCAATTTCTGCAACGACGTCATACATACCAAATTCTATTCAGAATAACGAATCCAGGAATCCAAGCTTAATTCCTATAAAAAAAACATGGAAATTGGAAATCCGGAGATCCAGGATTCTTGCAATATTTCTAATTCGAATTTTCATCATCGAATTCATATAGACCAGAATCCCATGGAGGGCCCCAATCAAAGAATGAACAACTCTGGAACACTCTGGAATTGTTTCTATATGGTTGTAGATTCTTCTCCAAAACACGAAAATTGGAAATCCCGGATTGCTGCACTATTGCTAACTCGAATTTACAAGGAATTCATACGAACTAAATGCCCTTCCAACATTAAAAATGCAGGAATCCAGGATTTCCGTATCAATTTTCATGAGTTTTTGAAAGGATTTCATATAAACAAACTTCCTATCCAAAACTGGAAATCCAAAAATCCAGGATTTCTGTCTTGTTTCTAGTCTATTCTATTTCAGGGCTTAGGGCTTTAGCGATTAGGGTTACTTCTGTACGCTTGGAAGAGTAGTCCTAAAAGCTCCCGTGTGCTTGCATACAGCGAAGACATGAGTAAGAACAGACAGCAATTGTCCCTGAGTTGCCTGGCAACATCTCTGAAAAGACAGATATTGTCGCTAAACGGGGGGGGGGGGTAGAGTATATCTATATATATAAGTATATACATATATGCGTCCGCGCTCCGCGTTCTCAGCCCCCCCGCCTTCCCCCTCCACCCCTCCCCCATGGTATGGTCCCCATCTGGGAATAAGCCATATCTATGACCGCCCAGAACCACGAACTGTCCGCAAAACAAAAACTTCTCTAAAACCTTCTTTTCAAACCCTTTATAAACCCTCACCACAGACCACAGGACCCCAGGGAAGGGGTACCTTCATAAGCTTCCACGAAAGACTCTATCAAACCTTCATAAACCCTCTACGAACCCTCCAGAAAACTCTCTAACCTTTTGCAAGCCGTCCATAACAGCTATAACCCCCTCCGGTAAACCTTCTACAATTCCGTACAAAACCTTTATAAGCCCTCTGGAAACCATCTTTCTCTGTATAAAACTCAATCAAACCTTCAGAAAGCCTCGAGAAACCCCTTCACAAAATCTTTTGAGACCTCTAAACACCTGCTATTGAATTAATGAACCGTCTGCAGACCTTTGTAAATCTTATAGAGCCCCTCCATAAACACTATAAGCTTCTGTAAACTTAATCTAAACCTCTCAATTTAACCACCAAACCCAGACCACAGGACCACAGAACCACTGGGGGCGTAGGTTAATCCTATTCTAGATCATGGACATNNGGGGGGGGGGGGGGGGGGGGCGTCCGTGAATGCTAACGCATAAATACACATGTGTGTGTTGGAACAATCCTTTTTGACAGTCTTTGGCATCGACGACCACATGCTTCTTTGTCGCTACCGTATCTAGACATCTATGCCAGCATGACTAGTACTACTGTCATTGCCAGCGTTCAGGTGACAAATCTCAATTGCGCTGTTCCTCTTTCTCGTGCATCCATTCTGGCACGGTAGGAGGCCCTGCCAGCCTGCCTGGCTCCTTGTGAGCTGTAACCAGTATCTGATGGATCAGGCCAGAAAACTTCTCTTCCTGAATCTTGCAAAGGTCCAGGATCAGATGAACAGCCATGACAAATATGAGCAGCCGTATGGCGCTCCTAGTTCGCCGGCTTGGTTAGTCTCCTCCCTCTTGCGCATCAAACACTAACTCTTCTAATTGATGTCGATGGCCGAGCCACGGTTGAGAGGACCAGCCATGCTAAGCACACCACGCGTCCAATCATCCACGCCATGGCTTGGCCCACAGGTGCGCAGCTGAGCATGAAAACTGCAACAGAGCAATCCAAAGTGGATTCAAAGTTTATGACCGCCTGAGGGTGATGCATCTGCACAAGTCCAGGCCCATGCCCATGCTGCCACCTGGTCTTCGCGAACTCACAACAAGGAATTGCCCTGTGACATCCTGATGTGGTTTGTAGAGAAGTTTATCTGCTGAACGAAGGTGGGAACAACTGAGGATGACGAACTGAAGCTGACATTAGCTGAACCATGTCCTCACATGTGAATGAATCCTAAAGATTAGCGATGGCAAAGTACTTGGGACCCAAGAAGGGACTGACACCTTACAATCTGAAAATCCGAAGCGTTAAGGCGTACAGCAAAGAGGCCCCTCACCTGCCAACCAAGAACCCAAATGTGAGTTTCCATGAATAATGAACCCAGCATGTTGCACTGAAACCCAAAGCTTCAACCCTAAAAACCAGTATTTGACTAGCAGAAAACTTATCTGAAACAAAGACTTGCCGTCACTGGCCACCATACCACCATGGCACCATGAAACAATGTTCCTTAAGCCAGGAACTCGCCCGACTATACAAGGCGCCTTTGCCTAACTATGTCAACCTGGTTTAGTCTTCACAAAAGATGCACTTGCAATCAGAAGCACTCAGCAAAAGTACCTTGAGCATTGCCTGAACCGTAAAATCTGAACATGAGCGATTTTCCTTAGTCACGCGTCCCACGTCACGTTGACGCCGCTGCAGGCAGATAGCTTCAACATCAGAAAGCAATTTCTTTATGAAAAGCTCTATTCCAATTCCACAGAAACTTCCGGACCTATTTGAAGTGTTCGGACAGATGATGGGAAACTACCGACCCCCTCAACCCTTAACCTGTTGTAATCTCAAGCTACCCACCTGCACGTGCGAAGGTTGGGGCCTAGCTCCTTTTTTGAGCGGGTAAGGGATGTTCACAGAGGGTTTGCTACAGTTCAGCGCCATGCATGCAGCGGATGTGATCTTGCGAAGTCCTGGCCCAGATGTGAAGGCTCTTGAAAGCAGGAGGTTTCGAAGAATTAGGGTGTACGGCGTTTGGCGCAAAATGATTATGACAGAATTTGGGTGTTCGGAAAACAAAGTATAGCCTAAAACGCTTCGAAAGCAACTCAATGTCCTGTGGCATCACAGCACGCCATGAACTGAGGGAAGAACGGCATCAGATAGTTGTTGGCGATCCTCTTCCTATGCTGAGTCATGTTTTCTGCGATTGAACCACGTGAAATAATACTGTTGGTGCAAAACCTTATAACCAGATGAAGGATGTAGTCTGACTCTATATCCGGGTCAAGCCCCGCTTTAACATACTATCTACATGGGGTTAGGCTAAGTTGTTAGGTTCATCCCTCATCGCCAG